GCCAGCCAGAGTTTCGTTGGATTGAAATCATTCATCTCTGTATGAATTGAGATTCACACCAGCCCCACCCCCACTATTGGCTGCAAACCATCGAAAAGTTAGTCCAGTATTTTGATCACTTCAATCTAGCCAGTGTAAGGACTACTGGTTAACGAAAATAGTTTCCAGCTACTCACAGTGATCAAACAGACTAGTTCCTTGAGTTCCCTCGAGTAATTTGAACTAAAAATGGAACAAACAAGTTTACAGGATAATACAAGCTCATTTTATGTCGAAGATTTCTTCAACTGCATCACAACTTTCATCACAATCACATAGAGTTATGGATAGAAAGTATAAGCAGTATAATTCCTAAATGACGTGAACAGCACAAATTAATCAGTGTTAAAAGGCTGACTTTTCATAGCATACTTAGACAAGAGGGGAGGGGATGGTGGACAGAGTTCAGAGTTTGCATAGAAACAAGAATTGACTATGTACAGAATACAAGAACGGACAACAGTGATTCCATACAATACATATGATGAGAATTTCAAAATGGTTGGAGTGGAAAGTAAAATTATGACATAGGCAATCAACTGACACGGAAGATTTAGTGGAAATTAGGTAGTCCAACTTTCAATTTATCAATTAACAAATAAAATCCTTGTTACTTCATTTCACAGAAGCCATTGCTATCAAAAAACTTCAACGCAACTTATGTATGCATCAAGACAGAATGATCAACCTTTTAATACTGTATTATTATAATTGTTTCCTTTAGTTCCTAGAGGAACATACGGCTTCAGCCGTGCGTCTCCGTTACGTTCGGATCCCTGCTAGAGTATTCACCTGGCTCCAAGTCTGCCCACACGCCTTCATCTCCTCTTCACATGACCTCCGCCAAGTCACCCTCACCCTTGCACTCACGACCAACTCGCCGCCGCTTCCCTTTCGGGTTCCACTCGAGCAATGGCTTGTCTAGTGATGTCACTCACTTGATGGATTGTTTTCTCAGAGTATGGCCAGCCAATCCATCTCGATTTCTTCCTGCCTATTTGTTTCACAATCGGTTCCTGCTGAGTTGGTTCGCTCATTGCCAGAGATCCCTCGCTGTTGCTGATCTTTTCTGGCCGGTCATCTGATTTTGAGTGGTATTGAGCAAGGACAACTGTTTCCTCATTGCACGCTGTTTGTCGCACTATCCAGTCTACTGCAATCAGGAAAAGCATTGGAGATAGTAGGCAATACTGTGGTACAATACTGTGGTAACTGTAATTATCCCATTCGTAGGATTTGGTGTTTGTTTCTGTTGAGTAATATTTCGCTTGATTTTCATTTGCACTTACTGAGTTGCACTCATTATTAAGTTTCCAAATTTAATTAACAGCCCAATGTAAATGCCTTTACAGTAGCAGTCGAATTGAAAGATCCACCACCAAAGGGGAGGTGAAATCAGTTTACGCCTAACTGTAAAGTGAATGTGAAGAGACACTAAATTTATGTTTCATTATTTTGTGTGTGAGCAGTAAAATACTTATTCAATTTTATTGATTTTTACTAACTAAAAAAAAAAAGAAACACTCGTGTCTTTTAATTCTTACATTTCTGTCAGTGCTAAAATGGTTTCTTTTTCTGTTTTCATAGTGAAAATGACTTGAGTTATATAGTTGGCTATGTATTTCAGTAAATTTAAAACGTAATTTTGCGTAATTCTCTGTCTTTCTATATATATATATATATATATATATATATATATATATATATATATATATATATATATATACTTCCTCTGAATGAAATCGTAATTCAACGACCAGTGTATATTGCTCTGGAGATCATTAACGCACCTGAATTTCATGTGTACGCATTGTTGAATGACTTCATCAACATAGACAGAGTAGATATCTCTCCGGTATAATCTATGTGTCATTTTTGTGTATCTCCTCAGCTAACTAGTGGGCCAAATGTCCGAACTCTGCTACACTCACTACGACTTCAGCATCACTAGACTTCACACAGAAGATGTGGCGCATTGCTAACTACATTGGAAGTGTCAGTGGTTGTTCAGTAATATTTCATAGATTAAGAAATTATAGATTTCTAGAGAAAATAGTCGCCAATCATTTTCCTGATTGCAGTAGATTGGATAATGCGACAAACAGCGGGAAATGAGGAAACAGGCATAAAATGGACTCACACAAAAAACTTGGAGGATCTGGACTTCGCAAATGATATATGTCTCATTTCCCACAAACAGGAAGATATGCAAGCGAAAAACAACAATTTGGCAAAAGAAGCATCAAAGATAGGACTTCAGGTGAACATAGAGAAAACGGAGGTGATGAAGATTCCTGGCCAACACCACCAACAGCAACAACAACAACTGACAACAATCAGGCAGCATAAATGAGAGGAGCCTGAAAGAAACAACCTCTTTCACCTACCTGGGAAGCATCGTTTCAACTACAGGAGAATGGAACTGATGACGATATCAAAGCAAGAATCGGAAAAGCAACACAAGCTTTCACTAATCTCAAGTCTATGTGGAGGTCAACAGCACTCAGTTTCAAAAATAACATCCGGATTTTCAACTCCAATGTGAAGTCAGTCAGTGCTACTCACTTTACGGATCAGAGACTTGCACTGCGCGCCATAAAGAGCATCTCAAACAAACTACACACCTTCATCAACAACTGTCTTCGCTCAATACTACTCAAGATCAGATGACCGGCCAGAAAAGATCAGCAACAGCGAGGGATCTCTGGTAATGAGCGAACCAACTAAGCAGGAACCGATTGTGAAACAAATAGGCAGGAAGAAATCGAGATGGATTGGCTGGCCATACTCTGAGAAAACAATCCATCAAGTGAGTGACATCACTAGACAAGCCATTGCTCGAGTGGAACCCGAAAGGGAAGCGGCGGCGAGTTGGTCGTGAGTGCAAGGGTGAGGGTGACTTGGCGGAGGTCATGCGAAGAGGAGATGAAAGCATGTGAGCAGATTTGTAGGCAGGTGAAGACTCTAGGAGAGAAGCGAACGTAATGGAGACGCACGGCTGAAGCCGTATGTTCCTCTAGGAAATAAAGGAAACAGTAATACATTAATAAATGAGAAAATTGCTTAAAATTTCAGATGTGACCTACTCTCAATTTTATATCCTGTCTTACACACTTCAAGCTGGACAACTGAATAGTACTGACATTTTTTATTCGACAAATGTAAAACTCATATCCTAGGTAACTTAGTTCATATCAACTTACATTATCAGCAAATAGGAAAAAATGTTATATAATAACTGAATGACATTATGAGCACAATTTATTCCTAACTTTTTTCACATAGCCTAACTACCTTCTGTATTTTCGTGGCAATATCTCATATTTTCGGTATAGGCATTACGATAGTTTTTGATTGCACGGGTTTAACGTTGATTCAGTGGACAAAGGATTCACTGATGAATACCTCACTTCACCTAACTTTATTACCTATTAAATACCTTTTACTGTAACCCACTGTATTATATAATCATATTCAAGTGAATGCATTGTAATCGCCAGGCCAGGCATTTTTTCTAGATTACTGAACTTTGCAGAATCAGTTATTCTAGGTTCAACTAAATTTTTATGTTCTGATAATCTAACTGACTCCTATCTTCCAGTTTGATCTATGTAATTGACGTCGCAGTCATTACATGTTATCTGGTAAATTAGATTGCTTTCCTTAATTTAACATTATTATTGTTTCCTTTAATTCCTTGAGGAACATAGGGCTTCAGCCGTGCGTCTCCATTGCGTTCGCTTCTCTGCTAGAGTATTCACCTGGCTCCATGTCTGCCCACACGTTTTCATCTCCTCTTCACATGACCTCCTCCAAGTCACCCTTGCACTGACGACCAACTCGCCGCTTCCCTTTCGGGTTCCACTCGAGCAATGGCTTGTCTAGTGATGTCACTTGATGGATTGTTTCCTCAGAGTATGGCCAGTCAATCCATCTCCATTTCTTCCTGCCTATTTCTTTCACAATCGGTTCCTGCTGAGTTGGTTCGCTCATTGCCAGAGATCCCTCGCTGTTGCTGATCTTTTCTGGCCGGTCATCTGATCTTGAGTAGTATTGAGCGAAGACAGTTGTTGATGAAGGTGTGTAGTTTGTTTGAGATGCTCTTTATGGCGCGCAGTGCAAGTCTCTGATCCGTAAAGTGAGTAGCACTGACTGACTTCACATTGGAGTCGAAAATCCGGATCTTATCTTCGTTTTTATGCTGAGTGCTGTAGACCTCCACACAGACTTGAGAATAGTGAAAGCTTGTGTTGCTTTTCCGATTCTTGCTTTGATATCCTCGTCAGTTCCGTCTGCCTGTAGTTGAAACGATGCTTCCCGGGTTGGTTGGTGAAGGAGGCTGTTTCTTTCAGGCTCCTCTCATTTATGCTGCCTGATTGTTGTCAGTTGTTGTTGTTGCTGTTGGTGGTGTTGGCCAGGAATCTTCATCACCTCTGTTTTTCATCTGAAGTCCTATCTTTCTTAATTTAACATATCGGCTGCTTAAGCAAGCAAAGCTTTTCTCTCAGTGAGTTGATGGGGTTTAAGTGCCACCGTAATTCCACCTGTACGAAGTTTTCTACATAAGGCCGTCCACAACGAAGCCCAGATCACTTAATATGAATTGTTGAGAAACACACAATGTGAAACACTAAAGCAAAACTGGAAGGCGATGCATACAGCCACTTCGTTTCACTTACTTAACTTACTAGATAGACTACACACTTGATTATCAGACCCTGGTCAGACTGGCTAATACTCCGAAGAGCGACCTACGATATTGTATTTTTATAAAATCATAATGAGGACTTGAAAGAAGACAAAAAGACACTCAAAACAGCATAATTATTATTATTGTTAGCATTATTATTGATCTGTTTATCTAAAATTGAAACAATTCTTGATTGGAGTTAATTTCTGTTATTCACTGTTACAGCATTTTATACTCCTTTAGAATTTTTAGTTTTTAATTGAAAATTTATTCAACCAAATCTTAATGTACTTGGCCCTCGTGGTGGTGTAAATCTCTGTGGTCCAACTGTTCGTATTCCACTGAATAGTTTATTCCAAAATTTCTTCTCCTCTGCAACTGTCATATAACGCTTCGACGTAAATGGATATTGTTGTTTAAGCTGATTGGTATAATCATCTTCATAAAATTCTGAAATTGAAAACAGAAAGAAAAACTGCACAGTATTAATTAATTACTATTAACATTTTCATAACTACTAAAATCTGTGTATATAAGTAAACAATGAAGTTAGGCAGAAAGCTTAATATTAAGTATGTAGCGATTCATAATGGATAAGATTTTATTTTGATAAATTACACAGTGTAGTACAGTTATATTAACTGATGACGTTTCGAGCACAAACTATTGCTCATAATCATTCAGTTTATTTCACATTTGGTCACAGATTGATATTAGTTCGAAAAGAAAGTTTCCTGGAGTTCTAAAGAAGTGGTGTGCTCACCAGGTTGGCTACGAGGACAAATATTCTCCGATGAGAATAGTTGGCAGTCGTTCTGAAACAACTAATCGAGAGGAGTTAGGATTTATGGGTCATCAGGTATCACTTTAGTAACCGGATGGACAACAAGATCATCTCGTAGCCTGAAGGTCCTGGCTTCTATCCCAGGTAAGTTTGTGAGTGCATACTACTGGAAAGTTCCAGTCCAGAACAAAACAGCTACCCAATACTTTCCGGTCTTCAAGTGTTCTTTAAATAATAATAATAATAATCTACTTTATCCCAAAAACAGTACTTATAATACAGAATGGAATTCTCAGTATTTGTCACAATATTGCATCTGATTTACTCAAAATATAAATAAAATTAAAAATTAAAACAAAATTAGCCGGAGGAATTTTTCCACATTCACGACATAAAGTCAAAAATATTTGAAGCATGAATTGAGATTATTAAATATAATAATAATAATAACAGTGAGTTTGTTTCAAACGGTATTGTCGATTCAGTTTGGAAACTTTAGCATGTTATAGATTATTGGAACTTATGTTCTGTTGATATAGTATAGTGAGGGGAAATACAAAATTAACAGTTATAATACAGCTTAAATTATGTCCACACTTATGAAAAAAAATAAAAAATTGAGAGGATTATAAATATAAGAAATACATTAACAATAAAGTATGATGCTTTAACGGTGAAGGAAATGGTTTATTTAGTGGTGCTAAGAAGGTTAGTTAGTTCATGTCTGACACTATTTTCATCACATAAAGTACGTGCTGAATATGGCATAGTGGAATTTTTATACTAAGACGTACGTGCTTAAATTCTTCTGAACAGAATTCTTGTTTTACCTGAGGAGACACAAGGTTGGAGCTGCGGGTAGAGTGGGTGCTCAGAGTCTGACAAAACTCCTTTAGCGAATTTGCTGCATGACATGAAGTGCCTATCAGTGACAATGTCAACGATATGGCCCAATGGGATACCACTCGTCCTACTGACAGTCTTCAGAGTTCTACGAAGTATGATATAGTCCTTTTTAAGCAATCCAATAAAGAATAAGGGTGAACAGTAAAGAAGAATAGGTAAAATACACGAGTTGATAAACTGCAAGAGGAGTTGTTGAGTTATGCCTGAGTGCCTTAACTTCTTAATATAAAAAGTCAGACGAAATATTCTTTGAGAAATCGCTAAGACATGAGAAGACCATGATAGGTCAGAAGAGAGAACTAATCCAAGATACTTAACTTCAGACTGGGTTTCCATATCAGTATCATCGATTTTGCAAGGATCATAGGAACCAACGGCTTCATTTAACTTTCGTTTACATCGGAAACTGAAATTAACAGTCTGACATTTGGAATGATTAAGTTTAAGGCCGGTAGACGAATGATATCGATCCGTCCTTAAACTTGAAAGAAATTAATTCCCTATAAACTAACTTTTGTTTTTTGTATGCATATATATATATATATATATATATAGTGTACTCTGAGGTGGCTCACTTCTTGGTGAACTGTTGACTAGGTACTGTCAACGTCAAATGAAAGGATAACGTTTCAGTTTTCAAGATTTTTGACTGCTATCATACACGACAATTGTAGGTTTCACACCTATACATGGTGTGACTTGAGCAAATTACAAACGGGAAAGTCCTATCAGAGCAAAAGATAACGTCCGTTTTCGAGAGGAATGTTGATCTAACCACACTAGCGATTACTGAATACCAGAAGTTATTGAAAAAGTGTTTTCTCCTTAGTTTGGATGTCACCGGAAAGTACTAACAAAGCTAGGAAATTAAATCCACCAGAAAAATCCAGCTGGAATTCTTACAGTGTCTCAGGGGGAATCCATATCCTAAACAGCTCGTTTTCGATGTATTGAAAAGATGAACTAATCAAAGTTAGTAATAGTCTATTGTTAGAAGCACGTCAGTGGACTGATATGAGGATTAAAGCAACAATACGAAGGTATTCAAGTGTTTGTTGGTTTGTAAGGATTTGATTGATTGGTTACAGGATTTCATCATGAGCTGACATTGGTTAGAGAACCATTGGAAAACCTGGGAATACTGAACAACTGTTTCGTCCTTGCTTTGGAACCCTTCATCAGTACGCACCCACAGGGGCTCGAACCCAGGACCTTCTGGTTACAAGGCGAGCTCGCATACCATTAAGCCACTGGGACCCGACCCAATGGCCCATGAATTCTAACCTCTGCCAATTCACGATGTAGCACAACCGCTAGCCAATACCTTCGGCGAGTATTTGTCCTGTAACCAGTCAAAATCCCTACAAACCAACACTTGAATATCGATGAGATGCTCACTAGCGACTTGCCCTATTCGGGTAGGTAGTAACCTGGGGTTCTAGAGAGAAGTCGTGACCAGTAGGGTGCAGCAGGTCAGGTGTGAGGACATATACTCACCGAAAACATTGGTTAGTGGTTGCGTTATGTCGTGAATTAGCGGAAGTTAGAATTCATAAGCCATTGAACCGGGTACCAGTGGCTTAATGGTATATGAGCTCACCTTGTAACCAGGAGGTCCTGGTTTCGAACCCCGGTGGGTGCGTACTGGTGAAGGGTCCCAAACTCGGACGAAACAGCTGTCCATTACTCCCAGGTTTTCCAATGGTTCTCTAACTAATGTCAGCTCATGATGGAATCCTATAATGCGAAGGTATATTTGCTTATCAAAGTTTTTATCAGTATAATATATATATTTAGTAGTTTTGGAACCAACTCAGTATGGATAATTAGCTTGCTAATGTCACTCACACGCGCGAGTTGTGTTTACATGAAATTGTGATCTCACAGACATTGGAAAGGGTACATTAAAGGTAACTTCAGTCGGATGAGCTTTAATTCTCTCTCTCTCTTGTGAGGTTACTTTATGAATTGGTTTTAGTTGTTGATTCGCAGCTTTCAACATCAATGCTAAGTTGGTTCTTCTATCTGAGTCAGAAACCTGGCGTGTCTCAAAGTGCATGTCTAATGGACTGAAGACTTCTGTCAACAGCTACCTTCGCTATCTCCATACTGAACATCAGATGATAGACCAGAAAGAATTAGCAAAGTGGAATGGTGGCCACATTACAACCTGACTGATAGAATTCAGTATGCACCAAAGAGAGGACTAGACGCATCACACTAGTTACTAGTGTCAAATCAAAATGTCCACTACAGTCCTACAGGAGGTCAGTCGCGAGCCCGAATAGCTCAGTGGTAACGTCTCTGACTGCAGCACTGGGTGACGCGGGTTCGAATCTCAGAAGGGACATGAGTTCCTCCAAGGTTGCAGATACGCCTTGCTGACGAGTGCCAACTAGCATGAAACCTAGGTCCAAGGCTTCCTGTGGCCGATTGCCTCCAACCACCTAATATCATCACAAAGTGGAACTCTGTTAGGCTACAAACCAATCAATAACCTATTGATCAACAAACATGTAGAGGAAAATGGAGATGGATCGGGCATACGATGTGCAGACCATTGAATGATACAGCGCGCCAGACATTCGCTTAAGTGGGACGCCAATGGTTAACGACGAGTTAGGCGTCAGAGGGTAACATGGAGGAGGTTGTGACAGAAGGAGATGAAACTATATGGGCAATCATCAGGCCAGATGAAGAGGGCTGTAGAGAACTGAACAAAGTGGAAATATGCTGCTGAAATCCTATGTTCCCCTAGGAATCCATAAGAATAATAATAGTAATAAATAATAATTGTCTTGCATCATTCTACTCACCTTATTCTCTCTTTACAGCTCTTGTACTTTTAATCTTATATGGTATAAAAACGGATAACAATCTGGTCTAAAAAATCTTTGCATCTACTGTTCCACTACTCTAGATTTTGGATTCTTTAGCCTACAGTACTTCTTTTGCTGCTGTTTCCACTGTTTTGATTTAACACTAGTAACTAGTGTGTTGTGTCTAGTCCTCTCTTTGGTGCAGACTGAATTCTATCAGTCAGCTTTGCATTGTGGTCACCATTTTAGGTAGCTCGCCATCATGGTGCATATTGATTTGATGATATTAGATGGTTGGAGACAGTCGGCAGGAACCCTCAGACCTAGGTCTCGTGCTAGTTGGCACTCACCAATCAGCAAGGCGTATCTGTAACCCTGAGGGAACTCATGTTCCTTCTGAGCTTCGATCCCGCGTCACTCAGTGCTGCAACGAGAGACGCTACCATTGAGCTATTCGGGCTCGCGATTGCCTCCAGCTATCAAATATCATCACAAACAATGTACACCATGATGGCGAGCTACCTAGAATGGTGGCCACATTACAACCTGACTGATAGAATTCAGTATGCACCAAAGAGAGGACTAGACGCATCACACTAGTTACTAGTGTCAAATCAAAATGTCCACTACAGTCCTACAGGAGGTTAGTCGCCAGCCCAAATAGCTCAGTGGTAACGTCTCTGACTGCAGCACTGAGTGACGCGGGATCGAATCTCAGAAGGGACATAAGTTCCTCCAAGGTTGCAGATACGCCTTGCTGACGAGTGCCAACTAGCACGAATCCTAGGTCCAAGGTTTCCTGTGCCTGATTGCCTCCAACCATCTAATATCATCACAAAGTGCACTGTTTTTATTCTTTTGTTACTACCGGAAGTTCATGCTGTCTACACTTAATGAGAACAATCAATCTAAAATGGTATCGTTCTTTTACTGCTCAATTT